TTTTCCCAGCCACCATCAGTTCCGAGGAAGGGTCACCAGACCCAAAATGTTAACTCTGTTTTTTCCTTCACAGATGCTGCCAGACCCGCTGAGCTTTTCCAGCAACTTTGTTTTTGTTAGCTTCCTACCTACCTACTTTTCCTTCTTTGATCAATCTCCAGTCTTTTCAAAATCAATTTTATCACCATCTCATGTCAATTTCTCGACAGAATTTGTTTTATACATCCCCATTCAGTATTATTCATAGCTGTGAACCATGCAGTTGATGAGTGGCAGCATCAAAGAGGCTCATTAAACATTATCCTCTCTCTCCTCCAACATCGATGGTATCGTGCACTTTAGCCTTTGGCCCTTCAACTTGGCCTTTTAATTGAAAGTACAGTTCCTGCCTCAGACTGGCTCTTACCTCGTCACAGATATGGAGAGCAAAAAACAGGACCAGCATTCCTGTGGACGGATATCTCCCATGATGCTCTGTCCACTTGTCATGGATATACTTGAAGAATGCTGGGTTGTAGATTTGTACCTGAGTGAAGAGTAGGGGTCAGGCTTTAAACCGCAGTTTTTAGTCAATATAACTAGTGAAGATTAGGGGTCATTTTAAACCACCGTTTTAACCTGTTTAACTAACTGTTTTAACAGTTTAATGAATAATTATTAAAGGTCAGACCTTAAAGCACAATATTTAACCAGTTTAAAACCAGCTCACTCTACGTACATCAGGTTATTTATGCACACAGAGTGTTATGCATGAACCCAGTGTTGCTCTCAGCTGGAGCTCTTCCACCCTGCATCTCCAATGGTATATTTTTTCACCCAGAGGGTGGTGGGTGTCTGGAATGCACCGCCTGGGAGGCTACTTAAGGTGGATAACGTCACAACCTTTAGAAAGTACTTGGATGAGCACTTGAAAGCGATGGCCCTGGTACGGGAAAGTGGGACCAGTGTAGATTCAGCGTATTTCTTGCGGAACAGACTCAATGGGCCGAAGGGCCTCTTCTGTACTGCACAATTCTGTGAATCCTGGCCAGCTTTCAACCCAGGGCTGGCTGGTGTGGAGGCCACACACTGAATTCAGGTTCACACTGGGGTTGAATCATTGTTTTAAACAGCTTTGTGTTACACTGAGCAGTGCATTTACCAGCAGCTCATCATATGTGGTTTTCATTCACTCACAGGGCATGGGTATCACTGGCTGGGCCAACATTTATTACACATCCCTAGCAATTGCTTGATTCCAGACATTTTATTGAATTCAAATTCCACCATCTGCCATGGCAGGATTCGAACCCAGGTCCTCAGAACATTAACTGGGTCTCTGGATTAATAGTCCAGTGATAATACCACTAGGCCATCGCCTCCCCATAAAACCTAATCTTCAGACTGTTGCGATTTACTAAGTCATTTACTAATGGTCTTCTCGTATTGGTAACCAGTGGTACCACAGAGAGTTAAACACAGCTCATTAACATCAAGAACAGCAGAATTCCAAGGCCACCCAAAATAATGTGCTGAAAGTTTTCTCTGTTTTCTGTGTGAGGCCTATATGAAACAAGCTTCAGCATGTTCACCTCAGTTGTTATTGGTGGTGGACCTAGAGCAAACGGGGACTTGCCAGTCTTTTTTGGAGATGTTGCTAGGATCTCGATGTGTGAAGGAAGCAGGAAAATTCAGACTGGTGCTGTCTAGCGCTCTCATTAAAGCTGGGATAAGGTAAAACAAGGTTGATTTTTCACTTGGCTGCCTTGGCATTAAACTAGTATGATGAATCGACACATTTGCAGATGATTCAAAGCCAAGCAGGAATGTGTGTTGTGAGAAAGATGTAAAACATTTTCAGGACGATTTGGATGGGATTAGTGAGTAGGCAAGAATGTGGCGGATGGAATATAATGTGGAAAAATGTGAGGTTATCCTCTTTGATAGGAGAAACAGATGTACAGAGGCTCTGTTAAACACTAAGAAGTTGGAACGTGTCGATGTACAAAGAGACCTGGATCCTTGTTGATAAAGTTACTGAAAGCTAATGTGCAGGTGCATAAGCTATTAGAAAGGGGCTAATAGAATTTACGTCTTTATTGCAAGAGGATTTGAGGAGTTGTGAAATCTTGCTTTAACTGTATAGGAGTTTAGTTAAAGGGCACCTGGAATACTGTGTGCAGTTTTGGTCTCCTTATCTGAGGAAAGATATTATTGCCATTGAGAGAATGCAACTATAGTTCACAAAGCTTGTTGCCGCAATGATGGGACTGTCCTATGAAGAGGGATTGGGTAAACTGGGCCGGTAACTAGAGTTTTGAGGAAAGAGAGGTTATCTTAATGAAACCTGCAAAATGATTTGACAAGGACCGACCGAGAAGTTGCAGATGAGGTGTTTCTCCTGGTTGGGGAGTCTAAAATCGTGGGGCACAATTTAACAGTAAGATGGAAGCCACTTAGGTCTGAGATATGGAGAACTTGTTTTTAAGCAGTGGGAATTCATTATCCCAGAGAGCTGTGTGAAGCTCAGACTTTGAGTGTGTTTTATGTAGATATCGATAATTTCTTGATGACAAACGGTGTAAAGGATAATGAGGGAAGCATGGGTAAAAGTCCTTTTAGTGTCTGATAAACTTCTATTGCAGTTAATAGTGCTGCAGCCTCTACTTATTTTGTTATGCTCTACTCTCCTATGCTATTGGGCTGTGTGACTGAGTTGTCTCTTTAAGGCCACTTTAGTACGCAGGTAGCAAGCTGAAAAATAAAGCTGTTAATGAAAAGCAAAGTATTGATGGTACTGGAGATCTGAAATAAAAAGAGAGAATGCTGGAGAAACTTAGCAAGTGCAGCAGCATCTGTGCAGAGAGAAGCAGAGTTAACATTTCAAGTCCAATTCTTCAGAACAACAGTAAAACCTGTTATAAGAGATAACAAGGTGTAGAGCTGGATGAACACAGCAGGCCAATCAGCATGAGAGGAGCAGGAAAGCTGACGTTTCGGGCCTAGACCCTTCTTTGGAAAGAACAGTGGGACTTTTACTGTGCTCCAGCTTCAGGTAAGTATGCATGAACACATCGCACTCCTGCCATAGGGGACTCTGGCTTTGCAAATGGGTGGAGTGTGTATGTGTGCGTGTGTGTGTGTGTGTGTGTGTGTGAGAGCGTTGAGCATGTGTGTGTGTGTGAGCATTGAGCGTGTGTGTGTTGAGTGTGTCTATGTGTAAGTGTGCATGTGTGTGTGTGCATGTGTTCAGCATGTCTATGTGTGATTGTGTGTGTGTCTGTATGTATGCAAATGTGTCTATGTGAGCATGTGTGATTGTGTGTGTGCACGTATGTTTGTGAGCGTGTGTGTGTGTGTGTGTGTGTCTGTATGTGTGTGTGTGTTTGTGAGAGTGTATGTCTGTGTGTGTGCACGTGCATGTGTGTGTGTCTGTGTGTGTGTGTTTGTGTATGCGTGAGAGTGTGTGCACATGTGTGTGTGTGTGTAAGTGTGTGTCTCTGTGCGTGTGTGTGGGAGAGAGTGTATGTGAGCGTGTGTGTGTGAGTGGGCCAGGGGTTGGTCAACCGATTTCTAGGAAATACTTTTACATTCAGCCTACGTTTCAAAATGTTCATTATCTGAACAGCTCTTCAGTAATACAAAACTTGCGTGTCTTTTTTCAACAACACATTGTCTAAATGTTCAATTTGCTGTATTAAAGACACTAAGTGAAGTCAGTGTGGTTGGTGGCGATACAGTTCCTGTGGGTATAAGTCAGCTTTTAATTAGATTGTCACACTTAGAGAGAGCCGCTCAAGTAAGTGGTAAATGACATTGGCCAGGGCACAGGATGGTTCAGTGGGTTAATAATGTCCTTTTGACTTTGGAAATCTCTGCTTAAATCTGGGTCAGTCTGATTATTTGGAATACAAGGTGCAAGGTGCTCAAGGGCTACCAGAAAAAAAAAACCTTTCCTGGAAACACTTTACAAAGATCAGGAGCTTCCCATTGATTGATGAAATTGTTACATACACCCTGACAGTGTGCTGCACACTGGGCCTCCAAGGTAGGGAAAAGGAGCTGATCAAAAGCACAGACTTCGTAAAATAAATAGTATTATTTATTCCATTAGTATATCCTTCACTTATAGACTATGCCCCAAAAAGCTCATTGACTGAAACTCTTCTTTAATACATCGAAATTCAAACATAGATATAACCATTACTCACTGAGTCAGGTTAGAATCAGAGAAATTTAAGACATGTAAGGAGACCATTCAGCCAATCATGCCAGTGCCACATGAAAAATTGCTATTTAGCCCAATGCCTCCTTCCCCGTCTTGGTCCACAGCCTCCTTTGTTTAGTTTCTCAATTGCATTTCCACTCTTCAATTTCTCCTCACCCCCTATCTAATCCTCCTGCCAATGACATTTAATCTGAGTCTCCGTAACTGGCTTCTACAAACAGAAGTAAACTCTTCCTACACATTCTATTCGGACCCATTAACTTTGCACACCTCAGTTAAATCTCTTCCCAGCTACCTCTGTCCCAAAGAAACCAACTCCAACCTGTCCAATTTTTCCTCATGTCTATAAGTTTCCAGTCCAGGACAGAGATTTATAAATCTCCTCTGTAACCTTTCTGTTCCAATCAGGTCCTTCCTGTAATGTGGTGACTGGAGTACATGCAGTATCTAGCTATGGTTTAATTAGTGTTTGACATAACCTCACTGCCCTTACATTCTATGCCTTGGATAGTAAAAGTACTCTATCTGCACTCTTATCCATTAACCTGCACTGCTTCCTTAAAGGGTTTGGTGGATCCCAGGGATCTCTGTTCCTCTACAGCATTCTGGGTGTTCCCTTGTCTCGTCAAATCTCCTGAAATACATTACCTCACAAATCTCTGGATTGAATTCCATTGTCCACTGTTCTGTTCTGTTCACTTGATTCATAGCTTGCTGCAGTCTTCACCTGAATGACCACACATCTAATTTTCTTTTTAATCACCTACAAACTTTTCAATCATGCCCTCTCCATTTAAGACTAAATCATTGATACGTGCCACAAAAGGTAAGAGATCCAGTACTGAGCCCTGCGGAATCCTAATGAGCTTCCTGCACCTGATTTTAGATGAAAATTGTCAACTGCTTTGGGATCCCATGGCTCACACCATTCCCATGTGGGGACCTTGTCAAAATCTTTACTAAAATCCATGCATTAACAGTGCTACTTTACCAATCCTGTGTGCAACCTCCTCAAAACCTCTTGTCAGGTTAGTCAGACACGACCTTTACAAATGCAGACAGACTGTTCTTGATTAATTTAGGTCTTCCTAAATTAATATCATGCCTCAGAACTTTTTCCAATCATTTCCAACCAGGCTGACTGTCCCTGGAGAATGTCTATCGCTTTCTGCATTTATGCACATCGGTACAATGTAAGGAGTCCTCTGGCACCACACCTTCTGCCAGAGAGGTGTGGAAATAACTGTCAGAGCTCAATTATTTTCTTCCCTTGCTGTTTTTAATGGCCTGGAATGCATTTCATTAGGGCCCGGCAATTTATGTATTTTCAAAGACATTAAACTGCTGAATATTTTCTCTCACTCTGCTTATCCCATTCAATGCTTCACATTTCTCCTCCTCAGCTACAGTGTTTGTAGTGCTCCTCTCCTTTACTGAAACCTGGATTGGACAGGAGGATAATAACAATTGTTCCAAATACTTCTCAGCTGCAGCACCAATTCATGTGAAGTTTGGAGTCTTAAAGTCCTTGAATTAATTGCCCCAGCTACACCGAATCTCCTTGTCATCCAACGCACCAATAAAAACCTTGGCTGACCTCTCACTCACCTTATCTTTATCCACCCGAAGAAACTGTTTGACAGGCGCGTAGGTACTGTGAAGAAAAGAGACACAGGAAGGTCAAGGGAAGCTAATGCTGAATCTCTGAAGATCAGATTTTTTGGTAAAGTCCTTTTCACAGCTCTGAATGTTGTTTGAACTGTTCTGCTGGAACTGCCAGCTATCTGATACTTCACTGACTGGGGTTGGAACCTGTCCTATTCTGATCTGTGAGACCCAATGCTGTACACACCTGGTGACTAAAGGAGGGCAGTGTACAGATGCCAAAATATTATTGCTTTCAGTAAAACGGACAGAATGGATGGTTTGCAGCTCTAATGAAGCTGAGTGCCTGAGAAAATGAGCAGCGTGATTGGAGAGTGCCCCGAAGGGAAACAGACCTGTCTGAGAGCCCATATGAAAGTCACTAATTACAATTAAAACCTTCAGGCTCTTGACAGACAGCACTTGGGTTATTTTGGACCATTCAGTCTAGATTTTGAGGGAATTTTAAGACAAGCATTCTAGAAAGTTAACATTCTTATGAAGAAAAAAGGCAAATCATTTCTTTGATCTACTGTGGTAGGCTTTAAGGTGGAAAGAATTTTTCCCTGATTTAATCACACTTTCTCCAATCCAGAAGCTCACTCCCACAGAGCGGGAAGTGATCACTCGTACTATGTGAGTGTAAGCAGTTTTAACCAATCTTTGTGGACTCGCTTTGACACACAGATAGGACTTGAACCTGGGCCTCCTGGCTCAGAGGTAGGGACACTATCACTGCACCACAAGAGACCTCTGTCTGCGAATATTGACGGACTGATGTTGGTGCAGTGCTACCCCCTTGTTATTCCCGTCCCTGATGCACGGACCAGTGAGTCCAATTGCTACATCTTTATGACTGTAGCAGCCAACACATCTACAAGCTGGGGTCTACGGCTACATTTCTGCAAGGTCACTTTCTGCTCATGTTCACAGACTGGCAAGAGGAAAGACTGTGTACAAGGCAGGAAGCCTGATGCTGGGCAGTTAAAACCAAGTCATTGAATATGTCAATTTTGTATCATTAGTTGGTATTCATCAATACGCAACTTGTGTATGCACAATGTAGAATTGAGGCACTTAAGCTGAATATGCAGGAATCTAAAGGAACACGAAGTTTGAATTCAGGTATTATACTTTAATTCTAATTATGCTGTGGGCTCTGTTGCATTGTGTGGGAGGAAACAATGTCCATGAGAGTCAGGTTCTTTACACAGACACCTGTAGCGTACTTAGGGGATGCAATGGCCTAATGACATTATTGCTAGATGATTAAACCAGACATCCAGGTAATATTGTGGGGACCTGTGTTTGAATCCCACTATGGCAGATGGTGAAGCTTGAATCCAATAAAAATCTGGAATTAAGAGTCTAATGGTCATGAAACTGTTGTTGACTGATGGAAAAACCCATGTGGTTCATTAACGGTGAAGGAAACTGTCATCCTTAGCTGGTCTGGCCTACATGTGACTCCAGACCCACAGCAATGTGGTTGGCTCTTAACTGCCCCGTGGGCAATGAGGGATGGACAGTAAGTGCAGGCCTAGCCAGCAAGGCCCACATGCCATGAATGAATAAAAAAAAACTGTCCTTTTACATTCCACCTCCTCTCCTCAAGGCACAAAATCTGTATAGTAAGAGTCCTCAAGTAATTTACTTACATGGTCATGAATTATAGAAGACTATTGATCATTTGATTGTGTTAGTGTCAATGTCTTGCTGTGCTCACATTTGAATTATATAAATAAGCACTTTCCAGAATCAGTAGGCATCAGCAGAATCCCTGGATGATTTGCTGCTCCGTATTGTAGTTCCCTAACTTCTTCCGGGCTTAACTCCACCAGCTCCAGGACTGTGACTGAGGACTACAGGAGATGGGCATCTATCCACTGAGTTGCATGTTGAAAAACCCAACTGAAGGCGGTCATTTAATCTTCACCCATGTGTTCCAGAAATGTTTTTGTGGCAATATTATTGTGACTGAACTTATTAAAAGATCAGCTATAGGGAGACGCTGAATAGGCTGGGGCTATTTTCCCTTGAGCATCAGAGGCTGAGGGGTGACCTTATAGAGGTTTATAAAATCATGAGGGGCATGGATAGGATGAATAGCCAAGGTCTTTTCCCCTGGGTAAGGGAGTCCAAAACTAGACGGCATAGGTTTAAAGTGAGAGGGGAAAGATTTAAAAGGGATCTAGGGGGCAACTTTTTCACATAGAGGGTGGTGCGTGTATGGAATGAGCTGCCAGAGGAAGTGGTGGAGGCTGGTACAATTACAATCTTTAAAAGGCACCGGGATGGCTACATGAATAGGAAGGGTTTCGAGGTGTAGGGGCCAAATGCTGGCAATGGAACTAGATCAACTTAGGATATCTGGTCAGCCTGGATGAGTTGGACCGAAGGGTCTGTTTTCACGCTGTACATCTGTATGACTCTAAATGAGACTAAACTAGCCAAGTAAGCCTATCCATGCTTTCAGAGATAACAAGAATAAAGATAATGACACTGCACATAATATTTAATGGTCTAGCAAGTCCCCTTTTGTTTTAATTAGGTACGTAGAGTTGAATAGAATCTACAGCACAGAAAGTCATTCAGCCTCACAGACCTATGTCAGTGTTTATACTCCTTCCACCCTATCAGCAGAAGCTAATCATTTATCCCTTTTGTACTTAAACCAGCTTTTCCTTAAACACACATAGTGAATGCTGGAGAAACTCAGCAGGTCTGGCAGCATCTGTGGAGAGAGAAACAGAGTTCAGTATGACTCTTCTTTACAGCCCTGAACCCAGAGTTCTGAAGAAGTTAGTTAGACCCAAAACATTAACTCTGTTTCTCTTTTCACAGATACTGCCAGACCTGCTAAGTTTTGTCAGCATTCGCTGTGTTAACTTAAGATTTCCAGCAACTGCAGTATTTAGCCTGTATCCTTTTAAATGTTTCTTTGCTACTGACCTCATTTGACCTCAAATACTGAAGCATTTATTACCACAGTCTGGCTAAAGAAGCTCCTCCCGAGAAACCTGTTTAAGGCACTTTTGCCTTTTACGCTGATAGAATTCCAATGCTGCAGATTAACAAAGGTGAAATGAATTGGTCATCTGTTCTTCGTTCTGGAAGAATAAGAGATGTTAAGGTTGAAATACTGTCCTGTCTGTTAATCCTGGGTGTCCCTGCTCCACCTTGTTTTCAAGTCCCACTGTGGTTTAGTCCCTCCTCATGTGAGTAAACTTCACCAGCCCACAGCTCTCCATGATCTCACGCATACCCAATACTGGCCCCTTGCACGTCTCTGATTTCTTTCACTCACCACAGGTCCTGCTCTTGGATTGCAATTCCCTCCCTAGATCTCTGCACCTCTTTTCTCCCACAGCACACTCTTTAAAGCCTGCTTTTGTCCCTTAATCAGTGTTGAATTTTGTTTGATAACCTGGTGCTGAAAGACCATGAGATGTTATGTTATGTGAAAGGCACTAAGTCGTTGTTGGTAAAATATAAGAACATAAATAAGCCATTCAGCTCCTGAACTGGTAGATGCCTGAGTCCATTTATCTGTCTTGGCTTCAGATCCCTTAAATAAACCTGGTGAGAAAAATCCCAGATTAAATTTTGATTAACTAGTTAGTGTCCACTTTTTTTTGTGGGTCAGAGTTCTACACTTCTTACATTCTGACTGAAGAAGCAGCTCCCAACATTCTCCTAATGGCTGAGTTTGGATTTTAAAGTCCCATTGTCCTTGACTTCCATGCACGCAAAGAAAAATAATTTTGTCTAACTACTGTAATAATTCCATTCAAAGTCATAAATTCCTAATTAAATCACCCCCTCAAACATCTTTCTTCCAGTGATAATGAGTCTAGTTAAATGTAAGAGCAAATTACTGCAGATTTTTTTTTATTCATTCACAGGATGAGGGTGTCGCTGGCTAGGCAGCATTTATTGCCCATCCCTAATTGTCCAGAGGACAGTTAAGAGTCAACCACATTGCTGTGGGTCTGGAGTCACATGTAGACCAGACCAGGTGAGGATGGTAGCTTCCTTCCCTGAAGGATGCTGTTGAACCAGATCGGTTTTTCCTGACAATTGACAATGGATTCACGGTCATCATTAGATTGTTAATTCCAGATATTTATTGAATTCAAATTCCACCACCTGCCATGGCAGGATTCGATCCCAGGTACCCAGAACATTATCTGGGTCTCTGGATTAACAGTCCAGCGATAATACCACCACGCCATTGTCTCCCCCTTCAGTACAGGTGCTAGGAGAGAGAGTAAGAGCTAACGTTTCGAGTCTGGGTGAGTCTAGTAGCTTGGATGCAGAGTCATCTAGACTCGAAACATTAGCTTGCTTTCTCTCCATGGATGCTGCCTGATCCACTGTGATCTCCAGTATTTTTTGTTTACAGTTTAGTTTATGCAAGCCTGATTTTTCAGCTAACGTTTGGAGCCTGGGTAACATGCTGGTGAATCTGCAGTGCATGAATTGCAAAGTTAATATATCCTTTCAAAAGTGCAATGCTGATAACTGTAACCTGTACTCCAGTCTGGTTTAACCAGGCCTTTGTACAACTGCAGTAACTCCTTAGCTCCCAGCTGAGTCTGCAACTTAAACTTCAATTACTGCCTGTTCAAACAGTTGTTTTACCCAATGGCTGCACTGGGGGACAGGTTCCTTGCTCTTGCTCTGAAGGGAGTGCAACGAAGGTTTACCAGGCTGATTCCAGGGATGGCAGGACTGACGTATAAGGAGAGATTGACTAGGTCGGGATTGTTTTCGCTGGAGTTCAGATGAATGAGGGGGGATCTCATTGAGACTTATAAAATTCTAACAGGACTAGACAGGGTAAATGCAGGGAGGATGTTCCCGATGGTGGGTATGCCCAGAACCAGGGGTCACAGTATGAGGATTCGGGGTAGACCATTTAGGATGGAGATGAGGAGACATCTCATTACCCAAAGAGTGGTGAGCCTGTGGAATTCCTCACCACAGGAAGTAGTTGATGCCAAAACA